ACCACCACACCTCTCTAATTTTTGTATTTTTAATAGAGATGGGTTTTTACCATGTTGGCCAGGCTGGTCTAGAACTCCTGACCTCAAGTGATATGCTCGCCTCAGCCTCTCAGAGTGCTTAGATTTACAGGTGTGAGCCACCACACCCAGCTGCAAATGGCCATTTTATATGATGTTCGAAACCTGGCAAAACAAACCTGTGGTGGTGATAGAAATTTAAAAAAAAAAAAAAAAAAAAGGTTATCATTGGGGGTTGGGTATTGACTGTGAAGGCCACATGAGGAAAATTTGTATGATGCCAGAAATGTCTATAATTTTATCTTGGTGGTGGTTTTGTTGGTGTATACATATGTAAACATCAGAATTATACACTTAGGATTAAATAAAAAAGAAGTGAGAAGTAATAGCATTTGAGATGAGGTGAAAGTAAATTATGGGCATATTGCCTAAAGTGAATGATAGCTCTTTTCCCCCATGTGTTAACTTTCTACACAAAAGATGATTTTTAATAGTATACGTTACATGTATCCACATGACTGTAAGTGTCTAAAGTTAAAATTGAAGGGCTCCTTCCTTAGAGCATTGCTTGAGCCCAGAGTTTGAGATCAGATCTTTTCTTTTCTATATGTACACCAACATTCTTTAAACACACATTTTTAGAAGTATCAAACTATGTAATTCTGAAATTTGCTCTCCCTGCCCACTCAACAGCATAATAGACATCTTTTAGTGTCAGATTATAGATTCACCTTGATTCTCTTTAATGATTGTGCAGTCCTCCACAGTATGTTTATATTGTAACTTCTCCTCCTCCCTAAACATTTCAGGTTATTTTTAGTTTCTTACTAATGAAAATAATTCTCATTAACTTTTATTACGTCTATATTTGTATATTTCTGTAAATATTGTTGTAATTCCAGAACTACAATTTTTAGGTTAAATTTTGGTAGCTACTCCAAAATTGTCCTTCAATTTCAGCAATGGGGACCATAATCTTGTCAACATTGGATATTATCAGTCTTAATGTTTGCTGATCTAATAGACAAAAATTGAATCTCATTGTTTTAGTTTGCTTTTCTCTGGTCAGTGGTGGAATTGGGCATCTTTTCTTAGGTTAATTACCAATTGGTGTTTCTTTTTTTGTTAATTGTGTGTACCCTATTTTAATTTTCCCTATTTGCCAGGAGTTGTAGTTTATGACAGTAATCCTTTTCTTGTTAGGAATGTTGCAAATTTCTTCTCCATTTCTTGTCTTTTAAATTTGTCTTTTAGCTTTACCGTATGAAACTATCTATTCTTCCTTTATGACTCCTTCATTTTGTATTTTTCTTAAAATCATTTACTTAGGAGGACCAGATATGTTCTTATATTTTGTTCTGGAAACTTATTCTTTGTGTTTTACTAATAAATAATTAATCATTCACAAATGTATTTTGTGAGCTAAATATATGAAAATTAGCATTTTCCCCCAAAATGAATAGCCAATTTTTGCTACAAAACACTAAATAATCTATCTTTTTCTCACCAATTTAAAAGCCAGGGATAGTACTGTATGAATGAGTGAATGAGGATTATATAAAACATAATTTTTTTTTTTTAATGCAGAGAAGAGGATGTCAGTTTTGAAACAGAGTTGGAAGTATAGGGCAGGGTTTGTAGAAGGTCAGGGATAAAGGAGTGGTTGCTTGGAAGCTGTAGTGTCGAATTGGATAGGTTTAAAAGTATAGGTCAGATGAAATAAGAATGTATCTAGGACAAATATAGGCATACCCATATGCTTATATATTTATCTCTATGCTTTGCTTTATTGCACTTTGCAGATATTTCAGGGTTTGGCGTGTGTGTGTGTTTGCAGATTGCAGATTTGTGATAACCCTGTGCTGAGCAAGTCTACCAGCACCATTCTTTTGACAGCATGTACTTGCCTTGTGTCTCTGGGTTGCATTTTGGCCATTCTTGCAATATTTCAAATTTTTTCCTTAGTATTATGTAATTAGGGATCTTTGATATTACTATAGTACTTGTTTTGGGCAGCATGAACAGCACCCATGTAGAATGACAAACTTAATAAATGTTGTGTGCTCTACCAACTGGCCATTTCCCTGTCTCTCTCTTTTGACCTCCCTATTCCTTGAAACATAACAATATTGATATAAGGCCAATTAATAACCCTACAATGTATGCCTAGTATGCGTTAATAAATATAAATGCTTCAATGGCCTCTTAAGTATTCCAAGTAAAAGAGTCGCATGCCTGTCACTTCACATCAATAGCTAGATATAATCAAGCTTAGGGAGGAAGGCATGTGGAAAGCCAAGACAGGCCAAAGGCTAAGCCTCTTGCACCAGTTAGGAGGTTGTGAAAGGAAAGGAAAAGTTCTTGAAGGAAATTGAAAGTACTATGCCAGTGAACACATGTGTAATGAGAAAACAAAGCAGCCATATTGCAGATATGGGAAAAATCTCAATGGTCTGGGTGGAAGATCTAACCAGCCGCAACATTCCCTTAAGCCAAAGCCTAACCCAGAGCAAGGCCCTAACTTTCTTTAATTCTGTGAATGCTAAGAGAGGTGAGGAAGCTGCAGGAGAAGAGTTTGAGGCTTATAGAGGTGGGTTTACGAGGTTTAAGGTAGGAAGCTGCCTCTCAAACATGAACGTGACAGGTGAAGCAGCAAGTGCTGATATAGAAACTGCAGCATGGGATCCAGAAGATCTAGCCAAGTTAATTGATGAAGGTGTCTACACTAAACAGATTTTCAGTGTAGATGAAACAGGTTTCTACTGGAAGAAGATGTCATCTCACAGCTAAAAGAAGTCAATGCTTGGCTTTCAAGGACAGGCTGACTCTTTTTGGGGGCTAATGCAGCTGATGATTTTTAGTGGAAGCCAGTGCCAATTTACCATTCTGAAAATCCTAGCGCCTTTAAGAATTTCACTACATGTATTCTCTGTGTGGCCTGTAAATGGAACAACGAAGTTCAGATGACAACACATCTGTTGATGGCAGAGTTTAAAGCCCACTGTTGAGACCTGCTAAGCACAAAAGATCTCTTTCAAAATATTACTGCTCATTGACAGTGCATCTGGTCACCCATTTTCTGTGGTGAAGATACCCAAGGAGATTAATGTTTTCATGCCTGCTAACACAACATCCATTCTGCTGTCCATGGGGCAAAGGGTGATTAAGACTCTCAAGTCTTATTATTTGAGGAATGCATTTTGTAAGGCTACAGCTGCCATAGGTAGTGATTCCACTAACAGATATCAGCAAAGTAAATGGAAAACCTCTGGAAAGGATTCACTATTCTAGATGCCCATAAGAACATTTGTGATTCGTGGGAGGAGGTCAGAGTATCAACATTAACAGGAGTTTGGAAGAATTTGATTCCAGTCCTGTTGGGTGATTTTGAGGGATTCAAACTCAAGCGGGGTGAGTAACTGTAGATATGATGGAAATAGCAAAGAAGTGGAGCCTGAAGATGGCACTGAATTACTGCAGTCTTATGATAAGACTTGAACAAATGAGGAATTGCTTCTTACAGATGAGCAAAGAAAGTGGTTTCTTGAGATGGAATCTACTCCTGGTGAAGAAGCTGTGAACATGGTCGAAATGACAATAATCATTTAGAATACCACATAAACTTAGTTGACAAAGCAGTGTCAGGATATGAGGAGGTGAATCCAAGTTTGAAAGAATTTCACTGTGGATAAAATGCTACTAAACAGTATCACATGCTACATTACAGAGACATCTTTCATCTTACAGAGAAATCAAATAGGAAGAATCAATCAGTGCAGGAGACTATTGTTGTCTCATTTTAAGAAATTAACCCACCCACCCCAACCTTCAGCAGCTACTACCCCAGTCAGTGAGCAGCCATCATCATCAAGGCAAGACCATCCACCAGCAAAGAGTATGACTTGCCGAAAGCCTCAGATGATCATTTGCATTTTTAACAATAAAGTATTTTTTAAATTAAGATATGAACATTGTTTATTTAAACATAATGCTGTCAATACAATTTTTATACCTACTGGGATAACAAAAAGTTTTTATGGCTAACTTCGTTGCAATATTTGCTACATTGCAGTAGTCTGGAAACAAACTTGCAGTATCTCTAAGGTATGCCTGTATGTACTTAAATTTGTATAAACAGTAATCTAGGATAGCAGGTCAACATGCAAGGCTATATTATAAAGGAATTCTTGGGTTATTTTTCTTTTTGTAGATGTATTTTAATTTATTATTATGGCTTAGGAATTACCATTAACTATCGGATAATAACATGTTTAAGAGTGAGCTCTTTTTGCTTAACATCAGATTTAAGTTGAGCTTTCATACTTAGTCCTAATTTATTTATTTAAAGCTATTAATATATAAAGGGTGATTATCAATTCTGGAAAAGCTTGGCTCTATTGCAATGTACAAACCGTAATTCAAGAAAACGGCTACTAAGTATGTGATGTACCACGTCCAGAGAAAAAATATTTTCTAGAAAATTGGATACACGTGGCCAGGTGCGATGGCTTATGCCTATAATCCCAGCACTTTGGGAGGCCGAGACGAGTGGATCACAGGGTCAGGAGACTGGGACCATCCTGGCCAACATGGTCAAACCCCATCTCTACTAAAAATACAAAAATTAGTAGGGCGTGTTGGTTCATGCCTGTAATCCCTGCTACTCGGGAGTCTGAGGCAGGAGAATTGCTTGAACCTGGGAGGCAGAGGTTGCAGTGAGCCAAGATTGTGCAGCTGCATTTCCAGCCTGGTGACAGAGCAAGACTTTATCTGAAAAAAAAGGAAAAGAAAATTGGATACACATATAGAGGAAAGTGATTATGTGTACACTTATGGGACTAAATTCAAAGTATGTTGAAAATAAGATTGTCAATATAATTTTTAAATTATTGACCTGTAACATAGTCATTATAATTGAAAAATTTACTTTATTTGTCTTCTCTTTCCCTTACCTCTGTCCTTCTGTTTCTCCTTTGTTACAGATCATACATCTGTCGGCGGTTTGGGAGACAGTTTTTATGAATACTTACTGAAAGCATGGTTGATGTCAGATAAAACAGACCATGAGGCAAGAAAGATGTATGATGATGCCATTGAGGTGATTATTTCCAGAACATTTCCATCTACTTAACATATTGAATGTACAATGTATTTGGTAGTGACTAGATGAATATCCTATAACCGTTTTATTATACACATTCAGGAAATACATATAAGTATTTTATTATATGCATTCACTGTAGGGTTTATTGCAATTTTAATAGAAAATTCTCATATTAAATCTTCTTTTATTTGTGGCATTTTAAAGAAAAATTGTAGGCCAGGCACAGCCACTCACGCCTGTAATCTCAGCACTTTGGGAGGGCAAGGTAGGCAGATTACTTGAGGTCAGGAGTTTGAGACCAGCCTGTAAAACCCATGTCTACTAAAAATACAAAAATTAGCTGGGCATGGTGGCACATACCTGTATTCCCAGCTACTTGGGAGGCTGAGGCAGGAGAATCACTTGAACCCAGGAGGTAGAGGTTGTAGTGAGCTGATAATCTCATCATTGCATTCCAGCCTGGGTGACAGAGTGAGACTCCATCTCAGTCAATCAATCAATAAATAGAGTGAGAATCTGTCTTAATAAATAAATAAAAGAAGATAAAGATAAATAAGGATTTATTTTAGTGTATTCATGAAATTGATTTTAATTACTTTTAGTTAATGTTTACAGAGACTGGAAAAACTTCTGACTTTATGTACATTTTCATAAACGTTTTTTCTTTCAAATAAACCCTTGAATCTACACATTGAGAGCCTTATGGGTAAATAATTAAAATAATGACAACACAGTTACATAGTATTTTCTACTTGCCAGGCACTGTTCAAACCCCCCTCCCTTTTTTTTTTTTTTAACATATATGAGATCATTTAATCATTATCACCATTTTATACATGAGGACCTTAAGAAACAGTGAAGTTAAGTAACTGCTGAAGGTCGTATTGCTGGTGATTGTCAGGACCTGGAACTGAACAGTCTGGCTGCAGAGCCTGTTCGTTTAACCACTGTATTATATTGTTTCATATTTAAATGACTTCATACCATGATATTGTGACAGTTTATAATTGGAACAAGATTCCTTCTAGGAAGATTTTATATGGAGTATTTCTAAGAAAAACCTGTGAAATGGAAAAGTAAGTTAAAAGTGTGTTAAGTAAATGTGTTTAGCAGGTTATTAGCTTCTTGCTCTATTATAAACCAATATTCACTTAATGATTTAATTACTTTTTTAGAATTGTATATTTTGTATATACTACATCAACACTGTGCTGATGTAGTCAGTAATTAGTTGTCAGAGTTAAAATTTTTGTTTTTTGTTTTGTTTCATTAAACCAAGAATCTTATTCATTTTATATCCTTACTTTTTAGGCACCTAATTTGCTACAGTTGTTTTAAAAAAATGCACAGGGTTTGAACTTAATATGTGGCTCACAGTGTTTTGCCCATTATAGGTACTCAATACGTGTTTGTTGAGATATTGTGTTAAATGATAAACTAGGCCGGGCGCAGTGGCTCATGCCTGTAATCCCAGCACTTTGGGACGCTGAGGCAGGCGGATCATGAGGTCATAAGTTCAAGACCAGTCTGGCCAACATAGTGAAACCCCGTCTCTACTAAAGACAAAAAGTTAGGTGGGCATGGTGGCGCATGCCTGTAATCCCAGCTACTCAGGAGGCTGAGGCAGGAAAATTGCTTGAAATTGGGAGGAGGAGGTTGCAATGAGCCGAGATCGTACCATTGCATTCCAGCCTGGGCAACAGGGCGAGACTCTGTCTCATAAATAAATAAATAAATAAATGGAACTAAAAGTACAACCAAGAATGTAAATTTTAGTAGGAGAATTTTATTCTCTTTTATTAAAATTTAAACCTAGAAAGTTTTGTGATCCAAGATAGGTTATTATCTGGGAAGAATTTAATATTCTTAGAACCATATTGTTGAAAATAGCTCTTAGTAATTTCCGCTAGACTGTGGGCTCCTTTGAGAGGAGAGACTAAATTGTTTAACATTATCTCAGCACATAGTACGATACTTGAAACATAATAGGTATTCCTTAGTATTTGATAAATGCATGAATATATTTAATATTTTTATATTTGAGAAAATGTGATATATCATATACCATGCAGTAAATTAATTTTTGCTGTTTTCTTGTAATTTTCTTTAAAACCATTTTGACTTTTGCTTAATTTTTTCCAAAGGAAAAAAAATTGCCTTTTTAATTGTATATGCTTTGAAAGCCATGTCTGTTTTAAAGTTAAGCTTATAAATTCACATTATTTTCCATGAATCATCTGCTATATGTTATGGATCCTGTAAATATTTCTGTACTTTCTCTCTTTGTCCTGTTTTTATTAGTTTTATTACTTACTGAGTCAAGAATAGGTACCTAATAAATGTTTTTTAATAACGGTCAGCTTTCACTTTGAGACATGATCGCAAGTATGTAGTTTTTGCAGTGTTAATTATTTTCAATAACTATTCTGTTAGAGTATTGTAAAATAAATGACATATGGAATGTTTGAAGGAGATAGGAATGACCAATTAACACTCATTCTAATTTGAAGTACATTATTTTTAAACTTTGTCTTTCTGAGCTTAAATTATTCCATACCCACCTTACCTTCTCCTATCCTTATAGATACCCATTTCCCTGGTTCCTACTTTCTTTTAAAATTATTGGTGAAAAGCCCTAACTGCCTTTTACTCTAGTTATAGTAAGTCCATGTGGATATGCTTGGATATTTTTTAATTGTAATATGATAAGAATTATGTTATAATGAACAGAAATTACAAACATATGGATACCATCCTTTAGGCATTTATGGAATATCTTATATGTGGAAAACGTGCTGGTATCATGAGGTTCAGAAAGCTGAAAAATCCTGCCCCATACTCAAAAAACTAATCTTTTTATTTGTGTTTCAGAGTACTATGGTTAAAAGAAAACAATGACAAAAACTTATAATCCAAAGATAATTTCTTGCTATTTTGGTTTTCAGCCACCTCTCATTCCCCTGTCATCAAATACAATTATCTAAGAGCACCATTCATTTATAAAATTAGTTAATAATTAAACATGTATTGAGTACATACTACATTATATGCCCTCTGGAATATAGGTGATGAGTAAGACATAGTCACTCCAGTTCTGTAAAACTCAAATTATTATTACAGAGAATACAGAATAAAATTTGCCAAGGCTGATTGTTACTAAACTTGTCAGAGAACAACTGACCACGAAAATACTCCTTTTTGTCAGAAAGAAAAGTATAACCACTAATCATATATAATAGTTCCTACTAAGGAAAATGAGTTAATGCCATTTCTTATGCTTTTCCATAGAAATACCTTTAAAGGTAGAAAATAGCTCATCTCAGCAAAGTCTAAGAACACATTTCAAAGGAGCAAAGCTTTTGATAATCTCATTGTAAAAATGAAATGTGATTGTTATACTCTGATATACTCGAGTTTAATATAGACTGTTTCTCTCACCATTCTCACATCCTTTGAGTAAAATTTATATTCCAGGAGGATAGACAGTGTTTATAATATGGCTTCTCTTACCCAGACAAAGCATCCAAAACAAATGCTGAAGTTTGAAAGTAAGGGACTAAAGATAATATTATATAGAAGGTAATTTTTAGGCCAAGTCTCCCCTCTTCCACTGTGTCTTATTATGGTAGTAATTCAGGTATTTGTTCCAGATTATATACAATTTGATCACTCACTCCAACACTTATATTAATTAAGTCTCCTAGTTTGGAAAAGTTACTTTATAGAATATCATATTTCCCAAGTTTTATAATGGCCAGAAGGATATAGTAAGTTTGAACACTACTAGTTTGCTTCTAAAATTTTGAATATCTTTTCTTTCCTATAGGCTATAGAAAAACATCTTATTAAGAAGTCTCGTGGAGGTCTTATCTTTATTGGAGAATGGAAGAATGGGCACTTGGAAAAAAAGATGGGGCATTTGGCCTGCTTTGCTGGGGGAATGTTTGCCCTAGGAGCAGATGGTTCCAGAACAGATAAAGCTGGTCATTATTTAGAGCTAGGGGCAGAAATTGCACGTACTTGTCATGAGTCATATGACAGAACTGGTAAGAATATTAATAAGGCTAATTATTTAGTCTAAAATAATCTCTAAGTTAAAAATGTGTCCAGGAATAAGAAGGAGAATATATAGGCACTTTTTACTTCAATAGTTTATACCAACATGGCAAATCATTTTCTTAAGAACTTGAATTTTAATTCTGGAAATGTGTCTCTGCATAATTTTTTAAATTCTGAATTCTACCGTTTCTGTTAAAGATTTTTGAAGTAATTGTTTGAAAGACAAGAATTGTGGGGTACTTGGGAATATATGGAATAACATTTATTTTAATGTAAGAATCTATTTTTTGTCATTTCAGCTTCTATAAAAACAGTTATCTAAAAGAACATAAAATTTACTGATTTAGGTTATATTGCCTTGCCGATCCTCTAGTGATAAAAAGAATAACCAAAAGATAATAACCAAGAGATAATAATCTCTTTACTGGTATCTAGCTAACTAGTAGTTTTTCAATTAGTTCACCGATAGTTTTTGGAGTTGTTTATGGCTTTAATTAAAGATCCTCTGACATTGCATTTGCAAATATTTTCTGAACTTAAGTGTCCTTACATGAAAAAGGAGGTGATTCTTAATGGTGACAAAAATTGGTTTGGTTGGGGCTGGAAAAAAATTTCTTTTTATGTATAAAGTACAGATACACATATAGTCATAAATAGATATACAGTATATATTTGGTATTAAAATTTTATGGAGGAAGAAGGCAATTAGGTTTAAAAAAAAAAAGCCAAAAGGTTTCTTAGGGGTGCGGTAATGAAAAGGGGGCTGAGAAGCACTGGGCTAGACCTTCCAAGGTTTTCTCTGGCTTTAAAAATGTAAGTTTCTATGTGAAGTAATGGATGACTTCCCTGAAAGCCAAAAAACTAAAAATTTCAATTTGATTCCAGAAGTTAAGTCGTTGATTTTATAAAATAACTGAATTTCTGTTTTAGGGTTAATTTATCATCAGATACCATGAAACAAATATGAGTGACTTAAAATTTATGCTAGTTCATCAATATGTCAAGATATTTTTATACAGTCAGGAATTAAACTTACGACAAAATTGATTTTTCAGTTCTCTTGTTAACTAAAGCAAGGATTCCGTTTCTTGAAAGAATATAAATTAAGAGGACAGTGAAGTGGTGTTATTTTATGGTAGCTTAAGTGTTAGTATATATTACATATAAAGGCAGTAATCTGAGTTAGAAATAGAAGCTAAATTATCATGTTGATATAGAATGTCAATTATATACACAAAATATAGCTAAAATTAGTCAAACATTGAGGAACAGGATGGATATTCAATTTTATATTAGGATCCATAAGAATAAGGATTGTGTATTTGCAGCTTTTAACCAAAAATCTAATAATAGACCTAAGATAATTGAATTTCATATAGCATACATACTAAAATATGGTATATCATAGTTATTGCAATTAAATATTTACTCCATGAAACACAGAACAGCCATTATATGCCAAGTGTTATGCTAGATGCTTATAAGATTAAGTATGAACAAGAGCTATTTTCTGCCTTTCAGAAATTTATAGAATACCAGCATTATGAAAAGATTCCCTTATATTTCTGATTTTCATGTTTCATAATGACATTGCTGATGCTGATTCTTGTTCTGATTGTCATTTTCACATTGCAAGTTGATGAACCTGTGACCTTCTTTGTTGTGGTAAACCAAAAAATGATACTAATTGATTTGTGTCCTGCATTTTCAAGTCTTCCATTGTTTTTACTTGTCTTTAATCTCAATTTAGATCCTTTAGTTAAAAAGTGCAGTCATAGTTTTGCTAACTTTCTAGCAGATTATTACATCTTCTGCTGTGTTTTCTTATACCTGTGCTGTAATTTTTGGCCACCATATTTTAAAATATCCGTTCACTTTTCCTTAGTAGTTATTCTAGCTAAATGTATATTGTAATTATCTACAACTAAATCAGTTCATGATCTGAGCTCTAAAATATTTTCTTATATATGCATATTATAGGAAAATGTCTTTAAAATTGCCTTAAAAATCCACATAGTATCATTATCTATATACTTTTATTTTGGACCACAATGGACTGTATAAGGTACAAATGTCCAGGTTTGCATTTGTTTCCAAAAGATTACTAGACTCTTATTGGTAGAAATAGATTTAGCAGATGTTAATACATATTATTCTGAGAAACATTTTAAATCAGAATAATAGGAATAGTTATAAGTCTATTTTAAGAAAACCAAATTAGGATCCTTTAAAATGACTTATTTTGCACTGAGTGCAAATAGCAATAATAAAAATAAACAACAAAAATTATTTCATATTCCATTCTTTCAGGGAAGAAAGAAGTCCTTGCAAGCAAACTTAAATGGTTTATTTTGCTCATTTATTTCTTTTGTCGTGTTACAGCATTAAAGCTAGGTCCTGAATCATTCAAGTTTGATGGTGCAGTGGAGGCTGTGGCTGTCCGGCAAGCTGAAAAGTATTATATCCTCCGTCCAGAAGTAATTGAAACCTACTGGTACCTGTGGCGATTCACTCACGATCCAAGATACAGGCAGTGGGGCTGGGAAGCAGCACTGGTAAATAAGCCAATATTCCACTTTATCTGTGAGAGTGTTGAGTCACGCCCTCCTATGATGCCATGCATCCTCACCCAAAATACTGAATGTTACCTCATTTTTAGTACCTGTAGGACAGTTTTTGTTTATCTGATGAAGAAAGTCTTAATTAGTCAATTTAAGTTTCTTGGCAGTAGAAATAAATCTTTTGATCCAGTTTTGTACTCTGTTAGGGCTACTTTCCTACCAGTATTCACACATTATTACATAACTGTAGGGAGTCATTTAAAAGGCAGTTTTTCAGCACAATTCTAAAATTAATAGGTTAATTTTCTATTCTGTTCTCTTACTGCTTACTCACTGAAAAAATAACACTGCAAAATTGCCCAGTTTCACAGCCTGGGTAGATGACATCCTATTTACTTCAACATGTGTTCTGAGTCATTCCTCAGAGCATCACTGTAAGAAGGAACAGTAAATGGTTAAAACTTTTCTAGGTTGAAAGGTTAAAAATGTATGTATATACATATATACATAGATATATTTCAAAGGAAGAATTTTTAATGGTTAGTAAGTAAAGGAAGAAAGTGGCTTACTCTTAAATGCTAGTCTTTCAGGGAATCCGTGGCTATCAGTACCTAGGGAGGAAAAAACTAGTCTTTTATGAAAGTATAGCTTATTTCCAGGGGTTAGGGGTTATTTTATTCTTTAAGATTTACTAATTATGATAAATAACACTAACTATGGTGACTATTGGTATTCTAATTGTTTATCTTACAATCTAGTTAGAATGACTAAGGACATCCCCAAAGAGGTCAGCAGTGCTGGTTAATTGCCCAGACAAGAATGTACGAGATATGTGTTAGGGCAAGATGTATACCAATGTATGTAAAGAGAATGGTTTCACAGTGGTAAAGGGGGAGAGAAGGTTGGAGGCATATGTAGACAGCCGTACACACCAAATCAAAAGTTCTTAGTTGTTCAAGAAAGAAGATGTATGTACACAACTTCCTCCCCCCAACACATGCTCTCTGAGTTTCTTCTGTCAGCTACTGTGTAAGTGCTGTCATATGGGAAGTGGTAAGAGGAAGTTCTTTGTTTGTCTAAAAAGCCCTTCAAATCTTATTTTCCTTTTTTTCTTACCAATTTCTGCCTGCAAAAGCTATCTGACTTTGAGATTTCCTTCTAGAACTGCTAAATGGTTTATAAGGGGGAACTCCTGAAGGCTTTTTTTTCAGTGTGGAGTAACAAAACAGAAGGATCTAATTGTAATCTACAAATTGGTGGGTTTGGGAGACCACTGCCATAACCTAGGAATAATATGAGATCTTGAACTCAGGGAGTACACTTATTTTTCACTTGTCATTCAGACCTAGATAGTCCTCCCAGACTTTCATAATAAGAGCATATTAATGGAAGCAAGTGGTTGCTTACACAGGACAGGAACAGATTTAGCATGTATTGATGCTGCTTTTCCTTGGCCCCTTGGGTCCAGAATAGGGAGCACAGCTACTAGTGAAACTCTCTGTGTGTAGGAGGGTGCTGCCACAGTTGAGAAGACAGCCCAGCTATTGCCATAGTGGTTTGGGAATAGAATACACACACACTTCTGTTAGCAGTGGCTTACTAATGCTCCCGTAAATTAAGCACTGTTTTATATAAGGGAACTAGATAGGTAAAATGATCGTATAATGAACCTGTTTCACTCTGATGTCCCCTGATAGTTAATGCTTCTTATTTAGAGGAATGAGGGAGATGTGACTGGATCATGTGGGGAGTAGAAAGTGATGGCAGAAGCAGTTTTTATCATTGAAGAATAATTTAGAATAATTCATCCTTTCCTAAGGTCCTTTTCTCCTGTGTGCTTTTTTCAAGTATGGCCCCACTTTTATTTGTTAAGGAGAGGTGTGACAGAGTCAAACTTTAGCCTGTCTAAATTTGAAATATAGTAGGTAGAATTTTGCTTTTATATCCTCTATGGACAAACACAAACTCAACGTATAATTGGTCAAGAACAATAACTGGAATAGTTATGCTCTAAATTCAAGTTTCAGAAATGTGCAGTGATGAGAAGAGGGAGGCAAAAGAGGCGGTGTCACATCTTAAATAGTATTTGCTCACGCATCACTATTGGCCCTTCCTCTTGGGTGTGAAGAAAGTAAAGGGAAGGCGGGGTGCGGCAGAACAGCAGTATGGCATGTCTTCTGTAGCCTTAGCTGTTCATTCTGTTTACACATTCAAACTTCCAAACTTGCCGTCATGATTTAAATGTCTTAAAGATTAGTCATGCCTCCCCACTACTTTCTTATTATTCTTAAACTGTTTTGATAGTTCATATGGTGGTGAAGACACTTGATTATTATAAAGAAAAGTTCTCAAAAACTCTTGTATCCAAAATTTGTTTAGAATATATTAGAGAAAAGCACCACACCCTTTAAACTTAGCTATAGTCAAAATGGAGCTATGAAATGAACAGATTAAATAAACACCCTTTAATGTTAATTAGCTTTTCATAGGAAGGAGAAACCCAGAAGAGTAAGAAAAGTAGCAAGACTAGGAACCACCAGCCGTGGCAGACAGCAACGATTATTTAAGTAACTGTACTTAAACCAGGGTTAGGTAGAATAGAAAAACAAAACAACCACATGTGCTTCCCACTTTTCATGAATGGCTTAATTCTGGAGTGTGCTGTACCTGCAGAAGCACACTATTCAGTTGCTTTGAATTAAAAAATAAGGTTGTGAATACATTCCATTTCATTCAGTATATTTTATTTAGGCATGCCCCAAGATGCAAAAAAAAAGTAAGAATTTTAACTTTCAGTCAAGCAGTAAAGCACAGTAGTTAATAATGTGGAGCAAATTACTCTGCGCCTGTTTTCCCATCTGAAAAATGGAACTATTAACCTCATAGAGTTGTGAAATTCAAGTGTGATTGTATTTAAAACTCTTAGGACAACTTTCAGCACATAAATACCTTATAATTGTTAACTCTTTATATTGTAATTATTATTGTAGTAGGTAGGCTCTTTCTGCCAGTTGATACCACCTGTAATGGCTAACTCATAGTATTATGATTATACAATGTCTGGCACATAATATGTTTTTAGTAAGTATTATCTCTTACTACGGTTACTATAGAGTCCTCCTACTAATACTTTTTTTTTATCATGTTGTAGATTATTTGTCCTTGGGAGTGATAAAATTACAATAAAAATTTTTTAATTGAAACTGACCTCTATCTTGATTTGTCAGAATTCACAAACCTTTATTTTGCCAGACAGTCCCCTCATTTAGAAAGAATAGCCTAAATTTGATTTCTAAGTTAGGAAAATATAAGATGTCTTAAAAAGATTAAAGAGTTTTAGAGAGAGAGAAATTCTATAGGAAACATCCTGTTTCTCATGAGTTAATTTTTCCAGTATGAGAATATTTCCTTTTGATAATACATTATTCTTAAACCATCAGATTTTCATACAGATCTTTATGAACTTTTGATTATTGTCCTTCAGAGTTTTGTTGTTCTCCAAAACTTGAAATTTTACAGAATTGCTTATTTTGTCTGATCTCTTTCATAGGCCATTGAAAAGTATTGCCGAGTTAGTGGTGGATTTTCTGGAGTCAAAGATGTGTATTCCTCTACTCCTACACATGATGATGTACAGCAGAGCTTTTTTCTTGCTGAAACATTAAAGTAAGTAGATAGCTTTAAAAAATGTTTTTATAGTAGACTGGTTTTGCTGTGTGATCACTAGATGATGAATTACGACTGTGTGACAGGTTACACTAGTCTTATTTTAAATATCTTTATGTAATTGGGTCTGTAAATTTTTAGCTACATCTCAAAAAGAATGGCTTAGACTATAAGGTAGGTATTTTATCCAAAAAATTTTTGTTCTTTGCTTTTTAATGTGCATTAAAAATCACCTGGAATGCTTCTTAATACACAGGTAATTGGGTCCACAACCACAAAGTTTCAGTAGGCCTAGAGTTCGGCCTAAAAATTTGCATTTCTAACAAGCTCCCAGGTGATGCTATTAATGTTGGTCCTGGCTACTATGGCTAATGAAATCTGTTAGGAATAATCATGCAGTTTTGATAGCTCTAAATTACTGTTACCACTCATCCACCTGGTGAGGTTTACTGTAAAGGTACATGTAAGGAACAATGGAATAGAGTAGACATATTTTGGTCTTATATTCAAAACCCCAGGTAGAGCTCTCTGTAAACAGACCTGGAAGAGATGGAGACTATAAATATGTCCACTTCCTTAAAGACTGACCAAGTAAATATCTGTTCATACTCTCTCTTAAATTTCTTATTTGTATTTCTTGCATATCTGTACATGAATGCCTTGTAAACATTTTATTTTTTCAACAAATGTGTATTACCAGGCACTGTTCAAGTCATTTGAAGATGTTTCAATAGGCAAACAGGATAAAAATTCCTGCCTTCTGGATTTTACATTCTAATACACTTGTAGTTTACATTCTGGTATATTACAATTAAAATGTACCTATCTCAAACTAAGTTTCTAAATATTCATCCTAAATGCCTATCTTATTCTAATTTTTCATTTATTAGCCCTAGTACTGATGTTTTTCTATCTTTTTAGCTTATAAAATATAGAATCATTTCTGCTTCCTCCTTTTAATATACCACCAATCCTTTATGCTTCTTTTATGTTTTCTAACTTTGTTGCCTCCTCTCCATTTGTACAGTTGACCATAGTCCATCCTCTTATTACTGCTGGGATGGTTTAGAACACCTGCCTGGTACTCAGTTTCCTACATCTGGATGTTTTTTATTCTGATTTATCCTGTGTGATTAGGCTTGAGACTGTGTAAGTTGAAAGAGCACTGGACTAGAAAATAAAGTGACAGGAATTTTCGTTGTGCACTAGCTGTGTCTAGCTGAATGAACATGTCAAAATAAAATTTCTTTGCTTTCAGTTTACATGTCTATAAACTTATGGAATTTGGCCCAGATTATGTTTATCTCTCCTATTTTTTTTTTTTTTTAAGACTTCAGAAAACTGTAAGCTAGTACCGTGGATATTTGTGTCTTTTCACCTAGTTTTGCCACATTTTCTTCTCTTTTTTTCTGTATACACTCACATATATACATAGCTTTTTTTTCACATTTTATTTTGCTGGACAACTTGTTAGTAACCAACATTATATTTCAGCAATAACTTTCAAGAAAAATTTTTTATCTTGCATAATCACAATTCAGTTCTCATACTTGTGAACCTTAATATTCATACAATACAGACCGGTGCGGTGGCTCATGCCTGTAATCCCGGCACTTTGGGAGGCCAAGGCAGGTAGATCTTGAGGTCAAGAGATCAAGACCATCCTGGCCAACATGTTGAAACCCCGTCTCTACTAAAAATACAAAAATTAGCTGGGTGTGGTGGTGCGTACCTGTAATCCCAGCTACTCAGGAGGCCGAGGTAGGAGAATTGCTTGAAACGGGGATGTGGAGGTTGCAGTGAGCTGAGGTCATCCCATTGCACTCCAGCCTGGGACTCTAGCCTGGGACTCCAGAGCAAGACTCTGCCAAAAAAAAAAAAAAAAAAAAAAATTCATACAATACTGTCATCCGATTTTCAAATTTCAGAACTTGAAATTCTATGGAATTGCTTATTGCTAAACAAAACTTTGAAGGGCAATAGTCATATATAGTCTCATTTTCAAATTTCTCCAATTGTTCAATAATATACTTTATTTTTGTTTAATGCCAATTCAGGATCCAATATGGGATTATTTGTTACATTTGGTTGTCATGTCTTTTTAGTCTCCTTTAATCTAGCACAGAGTTTTCCTGCTTTTCTTTTGTCTTTTATGAAATTGACATTTTTAAAGTGTTCAGGCTAGTTGCTTTGAGGAATGTTCCTCATTTTAGATTTTTTTCTAATTGTTTATCATGATCAGATTTAGGTTAAACATTTGTAGAATAAATATTACATGGATCTGTGTTCTTATCATTGTATCCTTTAAAGAGACGCAACAGTTTAGCCCATTATTGGTGATTTTAAGTTTGAGCATAGGTAGATTTGATTATTGTTATGTAAACAATCTTGTTTCTTTTTGTCATTAATGACTTATATGTGGAGTGATAATTTTGTGACTGTATGAATATTCTTTTTCTTTGAATTCTAGATTCTATTCTTAAACTAACCTAATGTACATTCAAATATTTACATATATATAAAGTTTCTTCTGTTGCATTTAATTGTCTGTTTTATATTTCATTGCTTGTGGCAGGAATACCTTTATCCTTTCTATTAATGCCTCTCTCTCATTTCTAATTTCGGTTCAAATTTCACCTCTTGCAGACTGGCTTTCATAATTTATTCTCAAATAACTCATCACTACAAACTTTGAGCACTTTAGCACATGGCATAGGGCTGGAAACAGATGGTAGGCTGCCTCATCCCCTTCCAGTACCTGTATGGAATATCACCAGTTAATCTTGGCACTTTTCCCTGCCAAGTTCAGACAGAATTCTGCTCAACACAACAGTAGGCTAGGTAACCAGTCATTTATGTATATATTATATATTTGCTATAGTATTTGCTTTTAGAAAAACACATCTGGAGCAATAAAAGTGAAAAAGATCAAACAAAAAGAAACATACTAATAATAATTACCTGGCAGGGAAGATGCCATGATCACAAAGGTAGTTTTCCCAAGGTTGCACTCGGAATTTGTTGACCCCTACAATTTCCTCAAATGTGGGAAATTCGACTGCATAATTTCTGGTAGTTGGGGACTGCGTTCAGTCTTTCCCCTGGTTAAAAAAAAAAAAAAAAAAAAAGAGAAACATACTAATAATTATAACATCACCTAGGCTAAGAAATTTGTTACAATTGAGCAGTACATTCAGCATTGTGCTTCCTGGCAGCTAAAGCAAAAAGGAACCATTCTGCGTAGTGTCATTATCACCTTTGGGGGTTGAGGGAGCATATTACTTTGACAAATGAGACAGAATTTTTTATGTTGCTGCATTATAAAATGACTTAACTTGGATAACTCTATAAAAATATTGAACTATTTAAGTGAACCATAAGAAATTACCCTTTTAAAAAGCTGAAAATATTTGAATATTGGCAATTTAATATGGTTCAACCTAATATATAATGGTAATGGTAAATATTTTCAAACAGTGATCTTAGAGAAGATGCAAAAACTTTCGATCTGATTTGCTCTTTATAAAAATTGATGGCGGCCGGGTGCAGTGGCTCACGCCTGTAATCCCAGCACTTTGGGAGGCCGAGGCAGGCGGATCACAAGGTCAAGAGATGGAGACCATTCTTGCCATGATGAAACCCCGTCTCTACTAAAAATACAAAAATTAGCC